AGGACTCTGGAGCGGGTCACCCAGGCCCCTCGGCCAGCGGCATCTGCCCCCAGGTCCTGCCAGCAGAGGTGAGAGGAGCGAAGGCTGAGAGTGAGCCTTTGGGGTCAGAGACCGCGGCTGCCAGACCTGGACATGGAGGCTGCCTGGGGGCATGGGGGAGGCGACCCCCAGGACTCTGGACTTACAAAGGTCCCCAGAGGCCTTGGGCTCAGCCTGCTCCTTTTCTGGATGGGCAAGCTGAGGTCTTGAGGGTGCAGGGCACTCACAGGCCCCCAGCATCAGCACCAACTCCCTGAGCAGGCTTCTTCCCGACAGGCACAGCCCCTGACACTGGCCAAGCCTCTGGTGCCTCTGCCATCCTCTGCCTCCCCCAGCAGGCGGACTCTGGATTGGACATGTCGTGTGGGCATTGAGTAGCAGCTGAGCAGAGACCCAACTGTCCTGCAGGCCCACAGGGCACAGAGCTCCAGTCTGAAACCTCCCCCGATGACTGAGGCTGGTCCTGGATCCTCTGGCTGCCAGTCTGCTCTGTCCAAGCTGATCGTCCAGAACCAGGGCTCCCAGCCACCTTCCTGGGCCCTGGCTGGGGTCTGCAACCACTGACTACCTTGGTCACCTTGGATGTCCTTCTGCCCACAACATGCACTCCATTATGGTGTTAGAACCCCTTTTTTCCTTGGGGCTGTCTCTCTCAAACCTATTTAGTTCATCAGTTCACATGATTTTTGTGGGGTGGTCTAGGCACAGCCAAGCAGGGCCTCCCATTTTCAAGATGCAAGTAATTGGATCAGCGAGGCCACACATGACCCCAGCTGGCTTAGTCAGTTACTTCTGAGATTACTGCTACAACGTTGAGGAGAGAGGCCCTCTAGGTCTTTGCAGGGAGATAGATCAGCTAGGGACGGAGCCTAGAGGATCACAATGAAGAGATGCTGGGCATCTGAGTCCCTGTGGCATCAGGTGAGCACTGGATCCAGCTGCAACTTCTAGAATCTCCCATTATAAGCCAGTAAGACAAGAATGGCTCTCTCTCTCTCTCTCTCTCTCTCCCTCTTTGATACACACACACACACACACACACACGGAAACACACACACACCCTTTAAAGAGGCACTTGGCACTTAATAGGGTGCTCAGCAAACACTTCCTAAGAACATGAGTGGCACATCCCATTGGGAGCATAAGGGCGTTTAAGTGAGTTCCTAACAGCATCCTCTGAGTCACTGTGCAGGGGGACGCTGGTGACCTCTCACACGTGTCTCACACATTATGCAGCACAAACTATGGCTCTAGAGGAGAGACCCAACAGGCTGCACATTAGAATCACACGGGAAATTTTAGAAGGCACCAATGGGGGCCCAGCTCATGCTCCTGACCTGGAGGCAGGGCCCATTTGTGGGGTGCAATGGGCATGCAGGGTAGCAGAGGCTATGACCCAGTGTCCCCCCTTCAACTCTACTGCCTTGGCCCCCAGATAGGACAGACCTGGAGCCCTCCAATGGGGCCAGCTGTGGGGTCATGGACATGTGTCTGCCCTGCATACCACCTTGGAGGTCTGTTTATGGGACACTGAGGGCCACCTAGGATCTCTAAACCTCCCACGACCCCATAGACGGCCTCCTGCTGCATCCCACCATCTCACCAAGCACCCACAGACTTCTCAAGATGCTCTCCTCCTGCTCCTGTCTCCAGAGCTGCACCCCACAGCCTCCAAGTCTGTCACAGCATAGGCAGATCTAACTTCTCACTGGTGCATCTCCCATCACAGCAAAACACAAGGAGGAGCTTCAGAGATGTGTGTTTACTGCTGCCTTTTTAAAACACCTTTGCAATCTATAAACACACCACACCTGACCTTTTCTCATGTCCCAGCATGAGCGAATCACAGACTCCCCCATAAACTAGAAACCACCAGGGGGCCTGGATGAGATTTGGGTGCCCTTAGAACACGTGTTGCCACCATGGATGCACTCTTAAGTCACGTGAGGGGATCCTAAAACTGACTGATGTCTGCCCTGCCCACACCAGGCTGTGATTAGTCTTGAGTGACACCAGGCTCCTCTTCAGATGATTCAAATGCTGAGCCACAACTAGTAACCATTAGTTTCCATGGTACCATAGCCCATCCCTGGAAAGCCTGGATCAGACTTCACAACTCAAGCTCCATCCTTCTTCTCTCTAGGGTCCTCAGGGGAGCAGCTGAACCCAAAGGAGCAGCTACAGATGAAAATCAAAGAGCAACCCTGCAGTGGCTTTATGCTGTGTCAACTGATTAATTAGGGATCAGGCTCCCCCAGTTCTCTTCCCCACATAATTCCAGGTTAGCCCTGGCCACAGGAGACTCTATCCGTGGTTCGGAGGCAAGAGAGAGGCAGCAGTCATATTTTACCATTTGTTGACTCATTGCGTGGATGTGGGCACCACCTGCATTTGCAATTCTGCCAGCTCCCCCCTGCCCCCCCCCCCCACTCCGCATCCCCTCCTGCATCTTCCTGAGTTCTGGACCAAGTGTTCCCATAGCCTTGAGGTGGGAGATGCCAGCTTCTCTGCACGTTTCAAAACAGCAGTGAAGTTGGAGCATAGGAAACTCCAAGGTATCCAGTGTGTGGGTTCTATTCCATCCTTGGGGTGTCTGTTTGCCCTCACTCCCATCCATGGTCAGCTTCCCTCCCTGACTTCCCGTCCAACTGGCCTACAGCAGCTTCAGGCTTGGCATGAGGTGGAGAGGCAGCAAACAGCCTTCCAAAGTGATTGCATGAGGTCTAGCCCTCTTAGAACAAAAATGAACCCCAATTAAATAAAATACATCTTTTCCCCTAACAGAGCATTTCTGCTTCTGCCTGAACCTTGATGGATAAACATTTTATTCATAACTGCATAAATACTTGATGTGCCTGCCTCCAGGTTGAGAAACCCTGGGGGAGAGGGGGGATTGAGGCCCATCCATGGCCTCAATTCAGTTCAGTTGCTCAGTCGTGTCTGATTCTTTGTGATCCCATGGACTGCAGCACACAAGGCCTCCCTATCCATCACCAGCTCCCAGAGGTTACTCAAATTCATGTCCATTCAGTCAGTGATGCCATCCAACTATCTCATCCTCTGTCATCCCCTTCTCCTCCCGCCTTCAGTCTTTGCCAGCGTCAGGGTCTTTTCAAATGAGTCAGTTCTTCGCATCAGGTAGCCAAAGTATTGGAGTTTCAGCTTCAACATCAGTCCTTCCAATGAATGTTCAGGACTGATTTCCTTTAGGATGGACTGGTTGGATCTCCTTGCTGTCCAAGGCACTCTCAAGAGTCTTCTCCAACACCACAGAAAGGCTAAGGATGTCAGCACAGTTGTGCCTGACCCTTTGCGGCCTCATGGACTGTAGCCTACCAGGTTCCTCCATCCACGGGATTTTCCAGGCAAGAATACTAGAGTGGGTTGCCATTTCCTTCTCCAGGGGATCTTCCCAACCCAGGGATGGAACCCGGGTCTCCCACACTGTAGGCAGACCCTTTCCCATCTAAGCCACCAGGGAAGCCACCGCGGCCTCCTTGCTCTCAAATTCAGCTCTTCTCCCTTTCCCCGCTCTGCATTGCAGGGAGTGACCTTTCCCAGGTGCCATGGCCCTCTGGCCTCCTGATGGATGAAGCTGAAGGAGATACGAGTGCAATAGTGGAGGTGGGGAGGTCAGGGCATTCCCTCTGTATCTGCTTCAGGAGCCATTCTCAGCAGCACCTGTCTTTTCCCTGGGACCCAGCTCCCACTGGACAGCCCCTCCCCCTGTGATTCCAGAGTTCCCTGAATAGCCCTGCCATGGCTCTGGCTCCCACCTGGTAACCTCAGAGTCTGGGCTCTGGTACCTCTCAGTCCCAGGGTACTGGCTGCTCCCAGGCATTCACTGCACATCAGTTCGGCTTCATCGTCTCCTGCCCAGTACCTTGGTTCTTCCAGCGCCACCAATTCCCGGCTTTATCTGCGTCCCTACAGTGGACCCTCTTTTGCTGAATGCACCATGATAGGCAGAGGTTGTTTTTGTTGTTCAGTTGCTAAGTCGTGTCTGACTCTGTGACCCCATGGACTGCAGCATGCTAGGCTTCCCTGTCCTTCTCTATCTCCCAGAGTTTGCTCATGTTCATCGAGACGATGATGCCATCCGGCCATCTCATCTTCTGTTGTCCGCTTCTCCTATTGCCTTCAATCTTTCCCAGCATCAGGGTCTTTTCCAATGAGTTGGCTCTTCACATCAGGTGGCCGAAGTAGTGGAGCTTCAGCTTCAGCATCAGACCTTCCAATGTATATTGAGGGTTGATTTTCCTTAGGAATGACTAGTTTGAACTCCTTGCTGTTCAAGGGACTCCTAAGAGTCTTCTCCAGCACCACAATTTGAAAGCATCAGTTCTTTGGCAGTCAGCTTTCTTTATGGTCCAACTCTCACATCCATTCATGACTACTGGAAAAACCGTAGATTTGACTATACAGACCTTTGTTGACAAAGTGATGTCTCTGCTTTTTAATATGTTGTCTAGGTTTATCATAGTTTTTCTGCCAAGGAGCTAGTGGCTTTTAATTTTATGGCTGCAGTCACCATCTGCATTGATTTTGGAACCCAAGAAAATGAAATCTGACACTGTTTCCACATTTTCCCTATCTATTTGGCATGAAGTGATAGGACTGGATGCCATGATCTTCATTTTTTGAATGTTGAGTTTTAAGCCAGTTTTTTCACTCTCCTCTTTCACGTTCATCAAGAGGCTCTTTAGTTCCTCTTCACTTTCTGCCATTCAGGCCTGGAGAGCAAAGGAAAGTTTACATGAGACCTGCCTTCTCCTGCCCTGGCCTCACCGTGGCTGGATTTGCAGAGGTGACTGTCTCCTGACTGCAGGCAGGGGCAGACAAGGGGTGGAAGGAGAGAGATTCCAAGGTCATCACCTTTCATGCACTGACCCTGCTCACTAGTGAGCATGGCCCAATGAGTGTCCTGCCTCTGACCAATCAAATTCACACTTTCTTCCTAGGGGAGCACCGAGGGGCATCAGAAGGACACCATAGGTGAGTCTGCCAGAGGACAAAGGTCAGAAGTTTTCTCCCAACAATGATCATGAGTCAGATGGTGATAATTGCTATATTAGTAATTTAAACAAAGTGCACAGTTAACCCCAAGCAGGTCATTGATTGTTGATTCCAATTGGAAGGTGAACTAAGCCTTAGGCAAGTACTGCTTGCAACTAGAAGATGAGACTTCGATGGGAAGACGAGGGGTTCAGTGCGGGGTGAGAGGAGGAGCAGAGGTGCAGAGGGTTCAGGAGCTTGGCCGGGTCCCGTAGGTCTGGAACCAAAGATCCAGTGGGGAAGGCTGGATTTAATCAAAGTGGACCCCAGGATAGAAAGGCTGGTGGAAATAGAGACAGACAATTTAAACCTAAGTGAGGAACAGAGAAAACATCCCTCGCCCATCATACAGTGTGAGGCTGGGACCCGCACTACTGATGGTAAGTGGGTTCAGAGCGTGATTCTTTGAAGTGCACAGCCTCAGATTTCTAATACGCTTCGACGAGTAGAATAACGCAATCACAATTCTCAAAGCCAGAGAGTCTTAGGAATCTTATCATCTTAGGATAATTGAATTATTGGATCTTACAATCTTGGGTTTTTATAATTACAGCACCTGTGAGTCTTAGCTCTCCCAGGGTGTCATAACCCAGCCTCTCCCCACCCTGCCCCACTGTCAGTAATGATAATACGCATTCTCTGCTCGATGCTTTGCCTGCATTGTCATTTAGCCTCCACAACAACTCTGGGAAGTGGAAATCTATTTGCCTAAACTTTCAGATGAAGAAACCAACACTCCATGAGCAAGTCACTGCTGAGGGTTGGACACCTTGTGATTAACACGATCAAGACTCCGGCCAGATCTCTTGGCCCAAAGCCCAGGCCCCCAGACTCTCTACTGGTCTGCCTCCCTCGAGGCCTCTCTGCTGAGTGTCCACTCCTCTGTGCACACCTCTAGTGATGGGGAGCTCATTACCCCTCCCCAGGGCCGCCATCCATCCTGACGGTGGACACATCTCTCCTGTTGTTCCTAAATCTGCCCTGGGAGACCCCACAGGAGAAGACAACCTTCACCTGGGACTCCTGCAGGGAGGGGGAGCAGCTGTCTGGGACGGGACGGCGCTCACACAGGAGCGGGGCGTCTCGGGTTAGGGGACCCCCAGCTGCAGCCCCTCCCTGTGATAGAGAGGAGGAGGGTTCATCCTGAGGGAGGGAATCGGCCTAGACGTTGGCAGCAGGAGCTCTCAAAGACAAGTGAAGCCGAGCCCAGAGCACTGGGCGCTGCGGTGGGGGGTGGACTGTGATACAGAACACAGCCCCCAGCAGTCAGAGCACCAGGCCTAATGAGACTGGCATCCTAAGTGCTGTGCCTTTAATTTCCTGGCTCTTCTCCCTGAAAACTTATTCCACAAAATGTGCCTTTGAGCCACCCATCCTCTCAGACGGCTTTTTTTTTTTTTAATTTTTTAAAAAATTTTTTAAATTTTATTTTATTTTATTTTTTTATTAGTTGGAGGTTAATTACTTTACAATATTGTAGTGAGTTTTGTCATACATTGACATGAATCAGCCATGGAGTTACATGTGTTCCCCATCCCGATCCCCCCTCCCACCTCCCTCTCCGCCCGATCCCTCTGGGTCTTCCCAGTGCACCAGGCCTGAGCACTTGTCTCATGCATCCAACCTGGGCTGGTGATCTGTTTCACCCTTGATAATATACATGTTTCAATGCTGTTCTCTTGAAACATCCCACCCTCGCCTTCGCCCACAGAGTCCAAAAGTCTGTTCTATACATCTGTGTCTCTTTTTCTGTTTTGTATATAGGGTTATCATTACCATCTTTCTAAATTCCATATATATGTGTTAGTATACTGTAATGGTCTTTATCTTTCTGGCTTACTTCAGTCTGTATAATGGGCTCCAGTTTCATCCATCTCATTAGAACTGATTCAAATGAATTCTTTTTAATGGCTGAGTAATATTCCATGGTGTATATGTACCACAGCTTCCTTACCCATTTGTCAGACGGCTTTTTAAGTGAAGCTTTTTTGTTAACTGGGAGAAGAAAAAGGAGGGGTGCGGGAGCGGGTGGAGCTATTGTAGCCCCCAAGCCTCGGGGGAGGAGATGCAATGGGAACAGAACACTCTGATGGTGAGTGGGCTTTTCCAGATAGAGACCCCCGCCCCCAGGTTCAGCCAGGCCCACAATGGGCCAGAGTCCCAGTGATAACTGCTGAGGCTTCTTGAGTCTCATTGTCCTGATCTGGGTACTTTAGATGTATATGCTAAGTCATCATGTCTGACTCTTTGCAACACCCCCCCACCCCCCGGCCCCACCCCTCCGGCCTGGACTTAGCCCTCCAGTTTCCTCAGTCCATGGGATTCTCCAGGCAAGAATATCTGATTGGGTTGCCATTTCCTCCTCCAAGGGATCTTCCCAGCCTAGGGATCGAACCCACCTCTCTTATGTTTTCTCCCTTGGCAGGCAGGTTCTTTATCACTAGCACCACCTGGGAAGCTACATTCCCCCAATAAATCCTTGCAACAAACTTAAGGTCAAACAGTCTTACTGATAGAGAAACAGAGGCCCTGAAGGGGCAGGAATTTGGACACGGTCACAGAACAAGCCCCTGGATTAAAAAACAGCCCTTGCTATCAGAAAATCTGAGATGGATTCCATTTCCATCTCTGCATTGTGTGGTCACTTTGTTTCCCCTCCCCTTCTCTTTCTCCTTCACAGAGACTGCCCAGCCCCTCCTGTCCAGCTGGGCCTTCAGTGACTCAGGAGTCGTTTTCTCCCCAAAGTGGGACACAGACGGCAGTAGATGGGCCCTTGGTCACTGATGCTCCTGCAGCTGGAGATATGAGAGGCCCCTCTTCCTGGTCACAGCAGTCCACCCAGTCGGTTTTGCACTTCTACCGCCTTCCATGGAGGTCTGGAAAACGGCACCTCTGTGGTCCTCTGGGGCCTTCCTTCCTGCAGGGAGACTCAGGTTTACAATGCAAAGCACAGGTCCAGTTGCTTTATTTGATCTCGGGGTGTAACCGATGCTCACTACCCTCCTCCTCTAAACTTCTTAAGTCCCTTCCCTCTCAGCTATCACCTTGTGTCTGTTATGATAGCAAATGTTACTCCTAAGCTGGAGCAGGAGGATCACTGGACCCTTGCTAGTTCTTCTCGAGCTGAGAGGACAAGGCGTGTCCGTTCATGGCGACAGTGGGGTCACCAGGGCTCAGCTGGGCTCCACGTGTCCACCCTGCCCCACCTCCCCTGCTCTCATGGCGACTCCTCTTTTTGCCTGCAGGCTCCAAATTGCTCTGGAAGCAGCTGTAACCTGCAGTTCAGTGGAACCCTTGCTGTGTCTCCTCTTTGGGGAACAGGGCCTGAAAGTTGCAGAGTCTAGAGTAGCAGTTTTATAAGCAAATATTAGTGTCTGTCCTATGGATGTGAGCTATTTGCTATCCTCTTTTTTATCAGGAATGGAAAGCAACACATCCCCTAAACCTAGGTCACTACTCCAGATCTCACTGGCTTCACACAAGGGCACCATAGGTCCCTTCCCTGCTGGCTCAGATGGTAAAGAATCTGCCTGCAATGCAGGAGACCTGGGTTTGATCTCTGGGTTGGGAAGATCCCCTGGAGAAGGGTATGGCAGCCCACTCCAGTGTTCTTGCCTGGAAAACTCCATGGACAGAGGAGCCTGGCAGGCCACAGTCCATGGGGTCACAGAGAGCCAGACACGACTGAGCCACTGACCCACGGTAGGTCCAGCTGGCTCTCACAGGCAGCTGTCTCCCACACAGAGATCTGGTGATGCAGGCTGCTACCACGGCTCCATGGTTAAAACACAGACTTGGTCTGTGATGTCTGGGGCAGGGAGGGACAGTCCTAGAACATCTCCACTGGAAATAAAGTGCTCCGGCCCAAGGATGCCACACGTCACCTACTTCCAACCCACTCAAGAGATCTGGTCACACAAGCCTGAATAACTTCAAGGGACAGAGGGGTGGACCTTTTCTTCCCAGGTGGAGAGAGAACCGTGTATGGGTGAGTGAGGTCCCTCCCCGCTGCCTGTAGACTTTAGGGCTGCTACCAGGAGATGGAAGGCAGCATCTCTCACTCCTGGTGCTTCTGTCTGCAGGTACCATTCTAACACTGACCTGTGGCACTGCAGCTCATCCTTGCAGTAACCCATCAGCTGGGCATGGCTATTCCAGCTTCATAGATGGGAAACTGAGGCATTGTGAGATTCAGTAACTTTGAAACTCAGTGATCCGGCGCCAGAGTCTGTATTCTTCATCACTTTTCTGTATTTTCCTTGCTGGAATGCTGGCATATCACCAGCAACCCCATTACAGGAGAGAAGGTTGAGGCAGTTTCTCGGTGATAAAAGCAGTGAGGAGAAAGAAATGTAAGCCATGGGGAGCCTGGAGTAAAGGAGAAGGGGGATGTGTGTGTGTGTGAGTGTGTGTGTATTTAAACAATATTCTGGTAGTCTAGGATTCAACACATATTTGCTAGACATCTACCTGGTGTCAGGTCCTATTCAGGTACTGGGTGGGCTGGAGGGAGGGATACAGCTATGGGACTATTGCCACAGGGGGGTAAGTGAAGACCAGAGGGGCTGGGCCATGTACCCAGCCAATGAAGCAGGAGGACCAGCTCACTTCCTGCCCAAGCTGCCCTTCCAGGCTGCTTCTGTCCTTGCTGTGAGGCTTTAGGGACACCTGGGAATGTGATGCGATGAACATGTAGCTGGGAAGCAGGTGGCACAGGCCAGGACTCGGGGCGCCGGGGTGGACACCCTCATAGGCTGCCCAGGGGCATCCATCAGGACAACTTTCAGGAAGGTGATTGGGTGATCAAGACCCTGAGCCTGGGAAATATGACTGCTCTGGATTCCGCAGCAGGAATCTGTCCTGAGGATGCGGTCAGGGACTCAGCACACAGGGCCCGGAATGTTCATCATAGCCTGACGTGCCTAAGAGAAAAGCCTGAAATCCTCCAAGTGCCTGGCAGGCGAGGATGGCGGGATAAATTATGGTGCATCTAAATGAGGTACAATTGCGAAGCTATTAACATCATGCTTTTGAGGAATTTTCAGTGATGTGAGAAAATGCTGATGATGTATGGTGAGTTTATAAAAAAAAACCTGAATAGCTGAATAAATTGTATGATCCCAATTACATAAAACTCAATATGTGCAGAATGAAAGATAAGAAGGAGGGGGAAGAGGAGGGTGGGAAGGGGGAGCAGAGAGAAGAGGAGGAGGGGGAGGAAGATGAGCAAAGGGGGAGAGGAAGGAGATGATGGAGAAGGTGGGGGGGGAGCTGCCTCCTGTGGTCCAGCATCGGCTGTGCACCACATGTACACTTTGGTTCCCAGCAACCCTGATGGGTGGTGCTATCTATTTCATTTTGCAGAGAGGAGAGTGAGGAC